CCTCCTCCTGGCCCCCATTTTGGCACACCTTCACACGTTTCGTGGCCCCATAGGGAGCTCCACAGAAGGTCCCAGTGGGTGTGCCAGCATGCGTCCCGCACACCCATTTCGGCACACCCCTCACCCGTTTCGTGGCCCCATAGGGAGCTCCACCGAAGGTCCCAGTGGGTGTGCCCGCATGCGTCCCGCACACCCATTTCGGCACACCCCTCACACGTTTCGTGGCCCCATAGGGAGCTCCACCGAAGGTCCCAGTGGGTGTGTCCGCATGCGTCCCGCACACCATTTCGGCACACCCCTCACCCGTTTCGTGGCGGAGCTCCACCGAAGGCCCCAGTGGGTGTGCCCGCATGCGTCCCGCACACCAATTTCGGCACACCCCTCACACGTTTCGTGGCCCCATAGGGAGCTCCACCGAAGGTCCCCAGTGGGTGTGCCCGCATGCGTCCCGCACACCCATTTCGGCACACCCCTCACACGTTTCGTGGCCCCATAGGGAGCTCCACCGAAGGTCCAGTGGGTGTGCCCGCATGCGTCCCGCACACCCATTTCGGCACACCCCTCACACGTTTCGTGGCCCCATAGGGAGCTCCACCGAAGGTCCCAGTGGGTGTGCCCGCATGCGTCCCGCACACCCATTTCGGCACACCCCTCACACGTTCCGTGGCCCCATAGGGAGCTCCACCGAAGGTCCCAGTGGGTGTGCCCGCATGCGTCCCGCACACCCATTTCGGCACACCCCTCACACGTTCCGTGGCCCCCATAGGGAGCTCCACCGAAGGTCTCAGTGGGTGTGTGCGCATGCGTCCCGCACACCCATTTCGGCACATCCCTCACATGTTCCGCGGCCCCATAGGGAGCCCAACCGAAGGTCCCAGTGGGTGTGCCCGCATGCGTCCCGCACACCCAATTCGGCACATCCCTCACACGCTTCGTGGCCCAATAGGGAGCTCCACCGAAGGTCCCAGTGGGTGTGCCCGCATGCGCCCCGCACACCCATTTCGGCACACCCCTCACGTTTCGTGGCCCCATAGGGAGCTCCACCGAAGGTCCCAGTGGGTGTGCCCGCATGCGTCCCGCACACCCATTTCGGCACACCCTTCATACGTTTTGTGGCCCCATAGGGAGCTCCACCGAAGGTCCCAGTGGGTGTGCCCGCATGCGTCCCGCACACCCACACGCTTCGTGGCCCCATAGGGAGCTCCACCGAAGGTCTTAATGGTTGTGTGCGCATGCGTCCCGCGCACCCATGTCGGCCCACCCCTCACACGTTTCGTGGCCCCATAGGGAGCTCCACCGAAGGTCCTTGTGGGTGTGCCCGCATGCGTCCCGCACACCAATTTCGGCACACCCCTCACACGTTTCGTGGCCCCATAGGAGCTCTGCCGAAGGTTCCAGTGGCACAGTCCGCATGCGCCCCCGCCATTCATGTCGGCCCACCCCTCACACGCTTCGTGGCCCCATAGGGGCTCCGCCGACGGCTCCACTGGAACAGTCCGCATGCGTCCCCGCCACTCATGTCGGCACACCCCTCACACGTTTCGTGGCCCCACAAGAGCTCCGCCGAAGGTCCCACTGGCACGGTCCGCATGTGTCCCCGCCGCTCATTTCGGCACACCCCTCACGTTTCGTGGCCCCATAGGAGCTCTGCCGAAGGTCCCAGTGGCACAGTCCGCATGCGCTCCCGCCACCCATGTCGGCCCACCCCTCACACGCTTCGTGGCCCCACAGGAGCTCCGCCGAAGCTCCCGGTGGCACAGTCCGCATGCGTCCCCGCCATTCATTTCGGCACACCCCTCACGCTTCGTGGCCCCATAGGAGCTCCGCCGAAGGTCCCCGTGGCACAGTCCGCATGCGTTCCCGCCACCCATGTCGGCACACCCCTCACACGTTTCGTGGCCCCACAGGAGCTCCGCCGAAGGTCCCAGTGGCACAGTCCGCATGCTCCCGCCACTCATTTCGGCACACCCCTCACACGCTTCGTGGCCCCATAGGAACTCCACCGACGGTCCCCGTGGCGCAGTCCGCATGCGTCCCCGCCACTGATTTCGGCACACCCCTCACATGTTTCGTGGCCCCATAGGAGCTCCGCCGAAGGTCCCAGTGGCACAGTCCGCATGCGTCCCCGCCATTCATTTCGGCACACCCCTCACGTTTCGTGGCCCCATAGGAGCTCCGCCGAAGGTCCCCGTGGCACAGTCCGCACGCGTTCCCGCCACCCATGTCGGCACACCCCTCACACGTTTCGTGGCCCCACAGGAGCTCCGCCGAAGGTCCCAGTGGCACAGTCCGCATGCGCTCCCGCCACTCATTTCGGCACACCCCTCACACGTTTCGTGGCCCCATAGGGAACTCCACCGAAGGTCCCCTTGGCGCAGTCCGCATGCGTCTCCCTTGCCTGGCCCCATATGGAGCCCCACCGCAGGTCCCAGCCAGCCAGCTAGCTCTCTTTGCTCCGCGCGGCGGGAGACCCGCGCGCGTCGCTGGGACCGTTCCGGGGCGACCTGCGCGCGTCGCGGGGGCTCCGTGCTGGTTCTGCCCAGCGCCTCGCTCGCCCGTCGTCTCTCTGCCCAGCGGCAAGAGCCTTGCCCGCTATCGGCCAGCTAGCTAGCTCTCTTTGCTCCGCGCAGTGGACGACCCGCGCGCGTCGCTGGGACCCCTCCGGGGCGACCTGCGCGCGTCGCGGGGACTCCGCGCTGCGCTGTGCCCGCAGCCTTGGACCTTTGAGTGTGCGGGCAAAGAGGGAGTGAAGGAAGGGGAGGAAGCGGGCGCGATCCTCGCGGGCGGGCGCGCCGACATTGGCGTCGCGGCGCGCGGGCGATGCCGTCGGGGAGTCCCGGGGAAGCTCCTTGCGGCGGCCACGCCCAGCGTCACGAGTACTCAGAGGCAGTCATTGTCAAACTATTGACATTCAAATACTTTTGCACCACGCTTTGTCATATTCGCATTCATGCACGTAGACCCGCTCGCACGCAGATTCATTCCCAGTCAGACGCACGCGCGCAGATTCACCCGCGCTCAGTCTCCCTACGTACTCAGATCAATCGTTTTCGTTCGCGTCGTGTACCACGCCACTCATGTCGGCACACCCCTAGCACGGTTCGCTGCCTCATAGGGATCGCCACCGAAAAAGTGAATCACTATTGCGGTATTCACACCTGCATATGGTTGGGTCCCTCATCAGGCTAATTGGATTATTGCTTTTTGATTCTTTTGTGGATATTTTCTATTCTTCGTCGAAAATCCCGCTGTATGGGGGACAGGCCCGACTTACGCCTGGCCTCCGACGCCGCGGGGGCTGCCCCGAGGCACTGCCGCCCCGAGCTCGCGGCCCCTGCCCCGGGGGCCGGCCTGTCGCCTCTGGGCGGCTCGCGCTGGCCCAGGTCGGCGCCGGGTGTGTCAGCAAGTCGGGCCGGTCCCTCCGCAGGAGGAGCGCTCAAAGATAGTCCAACAAGAATGTACACGCCAGTCGTTGAAAGTAGGTATTTCTGGATTCCCAGATCCCAATCTACTTCAAGCGCCTTCCTACTTCAAGAACCGACATGCTTTTGCTGTGGTTTGTTATTCTTTGGGAGGGCCTGGACCCAATCCATTTTATCCGCCTTCCTACTTCATGTTTTTACCTACTTCTTCCGACCGACGTGTAGTCTGGGGACGATTTGTGTTTCGCATTCTGGCAGACGTTCGGGGTATTTGTTTGGGGGGGGGTATTTTTGTATTCTTCGTCCTGGATCCGCCTGCTGTAGGGGGGCACGCCCGACCCGAGGCTCGTGCTGGCCAAGGTCGGCGTCGGGTGTGTCATCAAGTCGGGCCTGTCCCTTTTACAGGAGCGACGATCAAAGATAGTCCAGAAAAAATAGTCTGGGGACGATTTGTGTTGACCAGTCTGGCATACTTTCGGGGTATTTGGGGGGGGGGATGTTTGTATTCTTCGTCGAAAATCCGCCTGCTGTAGGGGGACACGCCCGACCTAAGGCTCGTGCTGGCCAAGGTCGGCGTCGGGCGTATCACCGGCGCCTGCCGACCACGGGAGACGGGGTCGGAGACGGTCGGAGATCTGAGGCCCGAAGACAGGGCGTTGAGGCCGCAACGGAGGCAAGACGCCGGGACGGATCAAGCAATCGAATCGACGTCGTAGGTCAGGGATGCCTCCGCCTTCCTCCCTCCTCTTCCGCCCTCTTCACAGGCACGCCATATGAATTCCTCCCGCCTCCCCCCCTCCGAAGATGATTTTTAAAAAGTCGCCCGTCCTCTCCGCGTGTTCTTTTCACGCACAGAATGTGAAAAAAGTAGGTTCGGCATGGCGTTTTACGATCCGATTGCTTTCGGTGTTTCAAGATGGTGTTCCCTCTGCAGCGTGGGCCCCATTCTCGGATCGGCGGGCTGCTCCCAACGTTCAAAGTGGCGCTCTCGCCCCAGCGCGAGTGACTTTCGTGGATCCGAGTCTAGCTTCATTGTGGTCCCCCCCTCATTTTCCCTCCTCCGCATTCCCCTGGTCCTCCTTTTTGTTCCTTATCCTTCCGATGTAGTTCCTGCTGCTGCTGCTGCTGCTGCTGCTGCTGCTGCTGCTGTCCGTCTGTCCGTCCTCATCCTTTTCCTCCCGCTCATCCTCCTGCTCACCCGCCACCTCCTCCTCCTGCTCCTCCTCCTCCTCCTCATCATCATCATCATCCTCATCCTCATCCTCATCCTCATCATCATCATCATCATCATCATCATCATTCTGTGCACGCAGCTGCCCTGTTTCCGAATGCGCATACCTCGAAGTTGTCTTTCTGTGGCAGTCGCAGGTCGGCGATGACACGCGTCCGCGGGTTCTGAAAGATCAGCGCCATGGGAAGATATGGGAGGGAGGGCAAGGATGTCAGATGAGGCGCGTGCGCACCTAGCTTGCCCCCTCCCTCTCTCTCCTCCTCCGTCTTCCCCTTCCGCCCCCCTCCGCCGCTGTCCTCCTCCTCCTCCTTCTCCTCCTCCTCCTCCTCATCCTCATCCTCCCTCAGGGCGCCAAGGGCCCCGTGTTCGGCGCCAAGGGAGCGGCCGGCGCCTGGGGCGGCGGCGCTTGCGGCAAGGGCGGCGCCTGGGGCGGCGCCGGCGCCGGCGCCTGGCAGGGCGGCGGGAAGGTCGCCGTCGTCGTCAAGCGGTCTGCAATGTTGTGGTCGTCCAACGTCGTCGTCGCCGTTGTCGCCGCTGGCGGCGTCGCCTTCCTCCGCCTGCTCCGGGTTCTTGTCCTCCTCCTCCTCCTCCTCCTCCTCCTCCTCCTCCTCCTCCTCCTCCTCCTCCTCCTCCTCCTCCTCCCCCTCCCTCTCCTACTCCTACCCTCTCCTACTCCTACTCCTACTCCTACTCCTACTCCTACTCCTACTTACTCCTATCCTTATTCCTTATTAGAATATACTCCTACTCCCCCCTCAGGCCGGCCATTAGGGGCCGCATCCGGGGGGTCCCATCCTAACCTGTAAAAAACAATACAAAATCAACATTTTTCTTATTTTTTCCTCTCGACATGGACGTCCTGTCGTCCACGGCGATAATCCATTGCAAAAAATACAACAAAGAGCACACGCGCGCGTTCATGTCAGAATCCTACCGAACACCGTGTGTTTGCAAGCATTTCAACATAAAAACATCAAAAACCCAATGCTTTTTCACAAAAATTGTACAAATTTCCCGCCCGGGCTCTCTTGCTGAAATCATAGGAAAACCATAGGAATCTTAAGAATTCTGTCAAATCCAGCGATTTCACGTCATCGCGCGGTGCACTCGCGATGCTCTGTCATGCACCCAGGCCGCGAATCCTGTGCAAAAAATACCACAAAGAGCACACTCGCGCGTTCATGTCAGAATCCTACCGAACACCGTGTGTTTGCAAGCATTTCAACATAAAAACATCAAAAACCCAATGCTTTTTCACAAAAATGCTTTGGGGTGTCCTGTCAGACCGTCGGGCTTCCTCCGGCCACCTCTGGCTTCCTGCGGTGTACCGGGCCATTCTCGACTCGTCTGGCAATGCGTGCGCGGCATTCAACACGCGCTCGCCAGTTCCCGTCGGCAACCGCCATCGCGGCCGCATCAGCTGTACCAAACCGGCTGGCCGGTGTGACTTCGGTCCCCAGTTGTGCCAGCTTTGCTTCTTATGTTGTGGGAGGGCGGGTGGGACTGGGCATGCCATGCTTGGCTCGTTCGAGCTGGCTAGCTTGACTCCTACTCCTATTCCTGCTCCTGCTCCTGCTCCTGCTCCCGCTCCTACTGCTCCTTCTACTCCTCCTGCTTGCAAAATCCTCTCCATTATCGTCCCCTGTACTCCTGAAGCCCCCCAAAGCCCTCTCCTGCTCCGGCTCCTCCTGTTTTTCTTGCATTCGGTAGCGAGTTGGCAGCATCCTCAGGGTAGCAGTGGGCAGAGCCGAAGGTCAAGCCAGAGACGGAGAGAGAGAGAGAGAGAGAGAGCCCGTGCGCGCACGCGGAGGGAAGCGGCATCGGTGGGGCATGCCCCCGGAAACGGCCTCACCAGGGCATGCCCCCTAAGGCCACGCGGGGAGCCACTCGGGCGGGGAGTGGCCCGACCTTGCCTCGAGGGTTTCGACGCGTCAGCCGTGCAGCCAGCGCAACGGCGGCGCACGGTTGGAGGCGGAGGGAGCGCCCAGGGAACAGCACTTGCGCACCGGGGGCGGAGGGCCCGAGGAGTAGGCAGGAGGCCGAAGCATCGAGACCGCTCGGCAGCAGCGTGGGCCCACAGGGCGGCAATTCGCCGGGGAGGCGAGGCCCGAAAGCCCGAAAGGCGGAGCGGCCATCGGAGCTTGGCCATCAGCGGAGGCCAGGCGGACGCCGACGGCCAAGAGCCGTCGGAGGAAGAGGGAAGGCCAGTGGCGGATCAGCTGGACTCGGAGTCCTCGCGCCTCTGGTCGGCCTGGCGACGCAGTTGGGGTGGGGGCCAGGACCGATGCGCAGCGAAGGGGGTATCGCAGGCCAGTCTGAGACGCAGCGGAGTCTGAGCTCACCCGCTGTCTTCGCACATCTGGCTGGGTGGGGCTGCGGCCACTGGCAGATGAGCCCACGGAGCACAGGACGTTCTCGAAGGACTGCGGCGGTGCGCCTTCCCATTGTCAGGGGAGGTGCAGACATCGCGGGAAGCCGTTCAGCTCTGCAAGATCCTTCGCCCGCCCTCCGCGTCGTCAATCCAGCCTCTCACGCGGACAACGATGAGCTGACGGCACTCGCGGCTGGCATGCGCCCCCTGCGCCGGCGGCGGGCACGCGAGGAGGCGACCCCGACGGAGGATTATCTTTCAGACGGCCGCGCTGCGCGGGATGCCGGACGCGGCACTGCGGGGCGCGGCGTCGAGTCGCACGGGCGAGCGCGAAAGGCGACGCGGGCGCCGAGCCTGCGTGCGATGACAGAGCTGGCACAGAGCGGGGGCGCTGGGCCGCCCCCGGACCCGACAGACGCTCGAAGGGCTGCCAGGCGCAGCCCTCCCCCATCTTCGCCGACGCCCACGCTCTCACGACTGGCTGGCCCCGCTGGGCCGACGACCAGGCCGCTCGGGCTCTGCCCGCAGCCCCCGCGCCCCGATCCCGGCCTGCCCCCCCGGCGGCAGCCGCTCCGCAAGACAACGTGCGCCAGCCGCCGTGGCCCAGCGGGGCGGGCCGAGGACCCAGACCCCCGACGTCATGATTTTTTTCATGACGCGACCCTCAGAGGTCTGGACCTATTCGCCGGGACCGGTTTTTCACCCCGAGTCGTTTTTTGACGGCCCCGAGGGCCGGTAAGGGCCCCCAGAGGCCGAAAACATAGAAAAACCTCCCGTCGTGATTTTTTCATGACTCGATGGGGGTCTGGGGAGAGCGCGGTCGCCCGCGCACAGGCCCCCCCCGCCCCCCCCCCGGCCTCCCCGCGCGCCGCGGGAGGAGCGCGGGCAGGGTCGGCGGGCAGATCGCACTGCACTCCGCCCGCGGCGCCGCCCGCATCGCACCACGCCTGGCACCGCGCTGCCGCCGACAGCCCGAGCCCTGCCCCTCGTCGGCCACGGACTGGCGGCGAGGGCGGGGGATCAGAGCCCCGAATCATCAGGGGTAACTCGGGCCAGGGCTAACTCGGGCTCGTTTTTCGGGGGTCCGAACCCGAGTTGCCCCGGGCCCGAGTCACCCCGGGTAGTTCGGGCGTCCAGGACCCCGAATCATCAGGGGTAACTCGGGCCAGGGCTAACTCGGGTTCGTCTTACGGGAGTCCAAACCCGAGTTACCCTGGACCCGAGTTACCCCGGATAACTCGGGCGCCCAAGGGGAGGACCACGGGCGGCTGTAGGTCACGCGGGCGGAGCGCCCGCTGGATATAGCAAGGCCGCGCCAAACGACGAGGCAGCAGATAGCGCCAGACACGCTCTTCTAGCTGCGGGCGCGGGGAGGCCCCGCGGGCCGATCGCGCCAGAAGCCACGGGGCGCCCTGGCACGAGCTCTGAACAGGCCAAAAGCTGGAACAATACAGAATAGACACGGGCGCAGGCCCCGCAGCAGTGCCCCGAGGGCCTGGCGGGAAGGAGGCAGTGCTGGACTAGGAGGCGCCTCCTCAGGCTGGAGCGGAGCTCGCGGGGCCCGCGGCCGGACGCGCGCAAAAGAACCGCTCCCGCGGCGCGCGCCCACGGGGGTGCCGAACGGCAGGATGTGGATTTGAAGCCAGGCTTCTCGGGGGCCTCTTGGAGGCAGTTTGGGCCCCTCTTGGGATCCATTCTGTGGCCTCTGAGGGCGCGGTTGGGCCTCCTAGGCGCTCTCGGGGCGGGCGGCTCGAATTTTCGGTTCGCGACCCCACTCTCGAGGCCCCTTGGGGGCCGTCTTCCGAGGCCCTCTGGGGCCGCTCTCGGGCCGTTTTGGCGCCCTCTTGGAGGCTTCTTGGCCCTTCATGGGACGGTCTTCGGGCCCCCCAGGGCCGCCCGGGGGCGTCGGGGAGCCGGAAAGGCGAGAACGCTAAAGAAAGTCAATGAGTTTGGCATATTTGGGCCCTCCTGGGAGGCCCCCTTGAGCGCCTTAGAGGCTTCTTGGGCCATCTAAGGCCATCTTGAGCGTCTTGGAGCGATCGTTCGGCGACTCCGGGCCCCCTTGGATATCTTGGGGGCTTCTTCGGACTTCCTTGGCCCGTCTTGCGTCGCGTGAAGTTTTCTGGCCCAGGGAAGCCAATGCCCCCCCGGAAGCGGGAAGCCCAAAAATACATTGGAAGTCGCCCCTGCCCCCCCCCCCCATCCCGCCCCTCGAAGATTCCTCGGGGGCGAGGAATGAGGCTTCGAGAATAAGCAAACGACCCGAGGACGCGCCAACTTCGCGCCCAGAGGCACGGCGGCGGACCCTTAGCAGCGCCCCCCAAGCCGCGCCCTGCAGCTATCGCCGCTCAGCGCTCGGCCCGGGGCACGGCCCCCCAGTTCCCTCGGGGGGGGCGGGGGCGGGGGGGGGGGGGGGGGGGGGGGGGGGGGGGGGGGGGGCGCTTCGCCGCCAAGGCTGGCCCCGCCGCTCCAGTGCCCGCCCCGCGGCCCAGAGGCGAGGGGCGCCGCGGGCAGGCGGCGGCCAGGATAGCGGGGGAACGCCGCGCGGGCTCTTCGCCGGCGCTCCGAACGCGCCGCTCTCGGGCGAGGGTCGCGAGCCGCGAGCTGCAGCAGCAACTGGCGCAGGCGTTGGTCGGCTCTCGCTCGAGCGGCGACCCGCCGCCCAGCGGCATTCCCAGACGAGCAGGGGCGACTGGAGGCTGCGCCAGGCGGCCCGCGAGCGGCGAGGGAGGCGTTCGAATGTCAGGCCACCGCGCCAGGACCACGATAGGCCATGTGTCGTTTCTCCTCCGCCGCCTGATGCCCCCACCCCATCCTCTGGTTGTTGTTTTTTTTTTGTCCTCTCCCCCCCGCCTCCTGCCCCTCCCCCCCCCCTCCTCCTCCGCCTCCCCCTGCTCAGCCGTTCTGGCCCAGGTCCACGACCTCTGCCTGCTGGCGAAATTATTCAGAGAGGCCTGCGGCGGCGGGCCTGGGCATCAACGTCGCGGGCATGGCGAGTTCGGGGGCTCCTCGCTGCTTTTCCTCTCTCGTTCCCATCGCTGCCCTGGCTGCTGTTCTCGGCTGCTTCTTGCCAGCGCGACACTGGCGCGACTGAGC